TCCTCCTCCTCCTCCTCCTCCTCCTCCTCCTCCTCCTCCTCCTCTTCCCCCTTTCCTCTCCTCCAGCTCCTCTCTTCAGCCTCGTCATCCTCGTTCTTCCTGGTCATGATCATGATGGTAATCATAATCATCATCGTCGTTGTTCATCCTGCCCATCCTGCCCATCCTCCTCCTCCTCCTCCTCCTCCTCCTCATCATCATCATCATCATCCTCATCATCACCATGACCATCGTTTGCCACTCTGGTCGTCATCATCATCATCATCATCATCATCATCATCATCATCGTCATCATCATCACCATGGTCACCACCATCTTCATCTCTCATCTCTCCTCTTCTCTCTTATCTTTTCTGTCATCATCATCATCATCATCATGATCATCATCATCATACAGCATACAGCATCATCAACACCGTCTGAGTGTCAGCTGGAGGATATAGATGTGCCTAACGATAGTCAGGGCTTTCTCAAACATGCGAATGCGTGCTCTGCAGAAACGGAAAGGATCAATTGAGCCAGAAACTGTCCAGAAAAAAAAACAAAAAGAAAAACAGGAAGGGTGCAATTCCTAGTGTGGGTTCTCTAACGACCGTAGGAATAAATTCCGATAATGGCCTTGCTCAAAGATGTCTTTTGAAAAGAGGGATAATTTGCGAAAAACGGTTTAAATACCCCCATTAGTTGAGATATATGCCAAAATGCCGGTAAAAGATGTGGGTAGAGAGGAATGCCCCTCTGACAAAATAAATATTTTGTGAAATACCCCTTGCGTCCGTTGACCGTCATCTTTGCAATATACCCCTACCGGGTACCGTCCAACTTTGCGAAATGCCCCAGTACTTGCCAACTTTTCCTAGGCGCTATTGCAAAAGGCCAAGGCCCAAACAGGGGCAGATTGCAAAGTTTGCAAAGTTGCACACCCGCCTGACAGGGGCACAACACAAAGATTTCGGCCCAAAAGGGCATTCCGTTCTACCCACATCTTTCAGGGGCATTTTGGCATTTATCTCGACTTATGGGGGTATTTTGTAAATTATCCCTATTTTTTTTTTATTTAATTTTTAAAGGGCAAAATACCTTTATTTCCAAACGAATAAAGAGAGGCCGGGAAAACCTCAACATAACAACCCGGAGGAAAAACTGGGGCCAATAACCAGCTTAGGCTTGTGCTGGAAACTGGGTCCAGCGTCCCATGCCATCCTTCCAAAAAACAAACAACTGGACTAGTAAACATGAAAACCAGAGAAAAGGGAAGAAAACTTACATTAACAGCTACAGTATTTTGGGGCCAGAATACTTCAGCCAATCAGCTACACCATACCACCCTCCGAGTTGATTGAGCCAAAAACCTCGTTGTGGGCCCAGGTTTTGGCAAACCAGATGAATTTTTTTGCGCGCCAGTCAGATAGGATTGTGATTCGTCGGTCTGCTAGTATCTTGTTGCAGATATGTGGGCGACTATACTTCACTCCTATGAACAGGAGTTTGTTTCTAGCCAACCAGACAGCTTCCATGATGACTCTTCTGCACATGATACAATGTATGTGATCCCACTAAGTAGTGGGCCTTCGATCTCTGAAATCCCTTGTAGGATGAAGTTCTCTGTCCAGACGTCTGTTTGGAGACCTGCTATTCTCCACCTTTCCTTCCACCACTCCCAGAGCTCTGAGGAGGGGGGGCAGAACAGCCAAAGGTGAGGTGCTGTTTCCCAGGCCCAATTGCATCTGATACAGGTTTCTGATATAGGGAGGCCCTTGGCCTTGAGCCACACTGAAGTAGCTGTGACCTGCATGGACTGGAGCCACATTATGGCTGCAGTTCTCTGGGCTGGCAGGCTTTTCAGCCTCTTCCAGAACTTAAAAAGCTCATGTTTTTAGAATGCAGAAGCATTTTATCGTAGTCCAAAGTGGTTTCTTCTTTTTCCTGGCTCTCAGACATGTGACGTACCAGCTTCTGTAGCTGAACGAACTTCTGAAGCCCTGAGTTTTGCTATTCGTGCCTTTTCGATTTCTAACGGGCTCTAGGCGTACCCTTCTTTTTGTTGGTGGATGATGCATGGAATGAATGGCTGACAAGGCCCTCCCACTTTTAAGACTTGTTGTTTCTCTCCGAATTTATGTAGGACTTACGCGCGCCTTAGTGAGCGCGCCAGGAATTTTGTTCGACAATTGGAATTCCGGAATTTGCCACCGCATCTCCCGCTGACGTGTCCTTTCTTGCAAGTGAATGTTCCTCCTTGAAAGCTCTGTGAATTTTCAGGAGGGATCTGAATTGCCGTAGGATTTTTCCTGCGTCCAATCTCGCGCGCGGATACCGTTTTTTGAATCTCTCAATAAAGTCATGGCTAGATGATGTGTATGTACGGCGAGTCGAAAAGTCCTGGCGGGATGACTGTAGTTTTGCAAGGCTGTGCGTCAGATGGCCGCGACGGATTGCGGGACCTGGACAAGTCATTGTAGAAGATGAATTGGTGGGGTGACGATCGCTGTGGTGTGGAGGTTGGTATGTGGCAGTCGGGATCGTCACTACCTAGGTAAAANTTGGTGGGGTGACGATCGCTGTGGTGTGGAGGTTGGTATGTGGCAGTCGGGATCGTCACTACCTAGGTAAAAAAGGTGTGTGTGCACGAGTGGTTGCATGGCCTGAGGTCATAGTCAGAAAGCAGAAGGCTTGCGCACCTTGAGCTTCGGTTCCTCCCCTTATTTTGGAAGCTAAGTCCACAACGGTTGCCAGTTTCTTTTTCTCTCATATCTATTTGTGTGCTCATAACTCCTTTTTCCTTAGTCCCCTTCCTTCGGTCGAGCTACCGCTCCATCCACATTTTTCGACCTTACCTCTCTCCCTCTTTCTCTCTTCTAAGTCGAGCTACCGCTCCATCCACATTTTTCGACCTTACCTCTCTCCCTCTTTCTCTCTTCTAATATCCTTAACACTCTTAAAGACTGTAGTGGGTCTCGCGTGACGCTCGCACGGAGACCCAAGTTGCACTGTTGGGAAACTTGGCGGTTCGGAAGAGCGGGCCCGCGGGGAACCGAGCGAAACGCTGCGGGCGTTTTTTTTTTGTTTAGGGGTGGTCGCGGCGTGAACCCGGTCGGCGGACCCGGACACGTGCATACTTTTTTTTTTTTTTTTTTTTTTTTTTTTTTT